CATGACTACAGACCCTGAAGTTCTGATCACCGTGTCATGATATTTTGAGGGGATATATTATTGATACTGCTATAGACTTGCTTGAACAGTTGCGTCTCATCCGTTTTATGCTGATACGTATACCGATACGTTTCGTCATTGTCTCTGGTGCATTTAGGTTGGAGGACGGTGAATATCCCATCATGAGTAGCGCAGCGAGAGCTGCCGTTACGTTTCTCTACCGTCGAAACATCAAGTGGAAGGGATAACGTCTCCTATAAAGGTTATCAGCTGCGAGAGTCGATCCCCTTCGACACCACTCACGCCGTCCAAGTGTAGACCGGGGCCTGCCTTCCTTCAGAGTCCGTGGAAACAGAGCGGCATCGGTGTGCCACATTTTCTTGCCTCAACTAATGTTGTCCGTCGCCTTAGTCTTGACGACATACTGAACAATGCTCTTCCTCTCAATCTACATGGCAAACCCACCGTCGACCGTGGAGGCCCTGTTGCTTTTCGAACTATTGACTCGGTTGCGGAACATGACGGCGAAGAAAAGTATCACAAGTTCGAGGGCGAACATGTGACAGACGACGGACGGTCCACTCCTCCGTCGCATGGGGTGGCGCCCATACGAAACGATAGCACTCGCGACCATCCACGGCCTCCTTCGACCGGTGGGCAAGGGAAGCGAAAATACACATACAAGAACAGGAAAAGAGGATGCAGTGATTCCTCGTCCGCATTCGAGCGTAGATGCAGTCTTGAGGAGTGCGAAACGGTTTTGAAAAAAAAATGCTGCGCGAAATTTGATTGTCTTCAACGGTTGACAGCGCTAGATGTTCAGAAATGTAGACGTGAGTACCGTGCACTTAGAGGCCGGGACAGTCACAGGTGGTGGATTTCGAAATTGCAAAACTTTATCTCTCTGGTTGATAGGAAACCTTTTGTGAAGCCTATAGTGCAAATGCGTCCAATTTGCATGACCGCATGGTGTCTCATTTTGGGAGTGGGGCAGAATACGTTAAAAAGGCACACGGACGACCTCGACGACGGAACGATAGATGCCATTCACGGCCATTAAGCGCGCCCTAGGACGAACGCTAGATACGTTATTACGTGCTCAGCATTTGAAGATATAATTCTCAACGAATCCGATCCGATGCCAGATCAGACAGAGACTGACCCGCTTTTTTAGATTAGGAACCGCATCCGCCTTCCTTTCGTATACGCTACGAAGAGAGGTGTTCATCGGAGCATTGAAAGAAACTTCAGAAAATCGGCGTTGCTAGCTCGTCGTACCAGGTCTTCTGCAAAATGTGGCGAGATTTTTTCTGGCAGGTTCGCATGGCTCGAGCTACCGATCACTCTAGGTGCAACGAATGTATTAGCTGGGCCATTTGCATCGAGGGGGCCCTCCCCGGGCCAAGGCGTGAACTTGTTGGGCAGCATAAATACCATTTGGCTCTTCAAAGGGCCCATCGTAAACTCTACAGCGTTTGGTCGGCGGAGTCGCAGTTCAAGCAGAGAGAGAGCTTGTGCATCATAATAGACGGGATGGATCAGGCAAAAACAACGATTCTCCATGCCGCGCGAAGAAGGTTGTCGAAAGAGATGGCGAACAACACTATGATGAAAACAAACCTCATCGGTCTGATTGCACATGGAAGGAATCCCTCGCTCTTCGTTCACAATTGGTTCCCATATTTGTCACACGGTTCGAATTCCGTTGTCACATCCATTGCAAGAGTGCTCAGAGAGGTGCAGGCGCACGATGGGGAGCTCCCCCCCGCTGTTGACGGTGCAAGCGGATAGCTGCGGAGGTCAGAACAAGAATAGATACGTGTTCGCTTTCCTTGCGTTGTTAGTCAAGTTCCGTATCTTCGAGGAGGTCCAAATAGGATTCATGATTGTGGGCCACACCCACACAGACATCGATGCAAAATTTAGTTTGTTCGCCAGGAAACTCAGCGGTTGTGACGCTTACACCATGGATGAACTGTTCTCCGTGCTGCAACGTTCTTGTGAGGAGCCCGTAGATTGCACGCATGTTACAGAGATAGTGGACTGGAAAACAGTTGTGTCTCCTTACCTTGATCCAAGGATATCCGGTCACTCTACTCCACACCTTTTCCGTTTTTACATGGACGGGGAAAACCCTGCGATGGTGTACAAAGAGTACTGCAACAAAAAAAGGAGGGAGCCTAAGACAGGGCCTGTGTACTGGTTCAAAAGGAACAAGGATAACAGTTGGGCAGGGCCGGAATGGAGGTTCCAGCCTTGCCGTGAGTCGCCCAATCCAAACTGTAGCGATTTCGTCAGCGGCAAGGCGAGTTTGAGAGTGTTGAAGAAATCTTGGGAAGATAAGATTCATGAATGGGAAACCCAATCCTTAGAGGACAGAGAACTGAAAACGAGCAGATTGCAATACTGAACAGATCGCCTGCGCGAGTTTGATTGCATTGAAGTCGACGAGACGGGGACAGTTGCTCTTTCGACGGCATTCTGGCCGAGCCCGAGGGCGGACAAACCTGGGTCCGAGCCCATGACTACTCACAAGCTTGCATCGCCCGCAAGAAAACCATGCTTCGTAGGTCACAAGAAAGATGCTCCTAAACCTGAATTCGACCCTTGCGTCGCGGTCGACGTCGACTATTTCGTCGTGCTCAGACCTCCGGACGACCAAGTCGCACAGGGCTGCATGTTCAGGGTGGGGCGTGTCCAAAAGAAGGACGAAGGCCGCGTCCTTGTTCAGTATTGGAGGCCTTGTGGCTGCGAGTGTAGTGTGCGCGAGCTGTATGCTGACGCATGGAACAAGAATTGGAGGGTGGAGATAGAGTCTGAGCCTGGATGGCAAGACCTGAAAAGCGTTGCTTGGGCATGGGCAAGCAACAAACGCTCGACGGTCGGGATGAGAATCAGAAAGAGCGATGCCATCAAGGCACAACAATCCCTCGCCGCTGTCGACACAGTCGTTTGTTCTGACATGCAGAATCACGGTGCTGAATCATCTTCGTCTTTCGTGTACGTGTCGGGACAAGAAGACGAGGGTTTGTAGTCATCATCTTTGTGAAAAGTGGGTGTGCTGATATATGGTTGTCGTGGAAATATTTGTGTGTGCCGATATCTCTCGTTTAAAGGAGTTAGCGAATGACGTGGCATGCCACCAACGAGTGTACCCGTTCGCTTGCTGTCTGCTGACATGTACCGTTTGCCTTTACTGTCGGCAGACATCTCGGTAGTGTAGTTTATCGCGGCGGGATTTTTCGAAGTATGGACGAGGACCACATTATAAGCAACATTGTGAACGCATGGGGAACACCCATACACTATGACGAATTTATTCCACATCGATACACGCGGCAGATGATTGCAGTTGGTTTCCGCACAAGCGACGAGACAACTTTTTGTCCCACATTTGACCTGTGGTCTCCGCAATTGCAACGCAAGATCTCGAGGATGGCCAAGACATGTGGTCCGGAAGGCCACTTTTGGAAACTCGGTGCACCGCAGTGGAACAAAATTTTCTACGAATGCAGTTCGATACATGACCACTATACAACATGGAATCATGGGAAAATACTTTGCATTGCGTTTGAAGCATGCCATAGGATGACGTTTTGTTGTACGCGTATTGAGCGCCGCAAGACAAGGCACGATGAAATGCATGACATTGACTGCTCCGTGTACGACATGGAGAATGCCCTGTCCAGGCACGCCCGTCGATTCTGTAGTGTCATTCGAGATGCGATGATACAGTTCATACGGCGAAGGACTTCCATCGTCGGAACAATTGCTGTGAAGGTGCTGCACACATTGGACGACGATGAAACCACCATATACTTGAAGAAAACCAAAACCAAAACGAATGTCGATGTAAAACACTTGTTCCGACGCATGAACGGGATACACCGACACATGCCACAAAAGATGACGGACAACACGGCGGGAGGCGTGAAAAACAGGCTACGGTTGCTAGGATATCACGAGGAGTTGGACGAGAATGAAGTAGCATGACACATTTCCTACGTTCATCGCAAACATGCTTACAGAAGTGTATGTGTTGTGCACAGAAGCCGCTTCACGTGGTCGTTCAAGTGGCTGGATGGATACCGGCGACAACAGCCGTAAGCGACGATTGGACGAGAACATAAAATTCAGGATTGTCAAGGCACTTCAAGTCAATCCATGGTTGAGTGTGCTGCCATGGCGAGGAAAAGCCGTGAACTAAAGCGAGAGCGATTGGGACATTGCAATAATAGAATGTCCATGGGCCCACGACTTCAGATTCGCTAACGAGATGGAATGGGGACGACTCATCGAAATATGTCCTGCCTCCCTCCAGACAGCGTATATACCAAACTACGCGGAGATTCACTGGATGTACGACCACCTAGATACTTATGACCCACTTGTATTTAATGCAAACCAAGAATCGACGTGTTGCGAAGAGGACGGAGCAATCTCATGCAAGTTCATAAGAACATCACCTCGCACATGGCCGATGCGATTCCGACACGAGCTGCAAAGGTGTGGAAGATTGTGCAACAAAATCACAACTTATCCCATGCATAACGAAGCGGGGACAATCGCTCAGCGCATATCTTATTGCTAAGTGAGGATTTTCTTTAACGATGCCGATTTATGTAGAGTAAATTGTGTAGCATGCACGAGCAAGGGAGGGAGATTAATAGAGGCAAGATGCGAAGCAATGTGGTGTGAGGAGGAATGCGACAATTCAGCGTTTAATTTGAAAGAGTCGGTGGAAGAAGTAGAGGATAAAATATGCACCCTAAGAGATGCTATCGGCATCGCTCTCGCTGGCACGCACAATTTCGTGAATATGTCATATATATTGTCATTCGATAGGGACGACGGTGACAAGCCCGAGGGTTTGAAAACACTTACATTCGGCTCACCTCTGCACGGTTTGTATAGTTAGGAAAGAAAACGTGTTAAGCGCAATGGTTCGGAATAGCAAGTTCTCGTATTATAGATAGTTTACCACAGACAGGCATGCACCAGCACTGAGTGTTAGCCTCATAGGAGAGTTATCATTTCTCGACTTTATTTACGAACGTCTACACGTTCGATTTTGTCGCTCATGTGTGTGTGGTGTATAGGGTGCATAACGTCATCGACAACGTCGACGAGCATCAGTGGAAGTCCCGAGAGACACAAACGCTCAGCAAAACCATTTCCTCCTTGTGCGAAATCGGTGCGGCATTATAACGGTCATACTTGGTTCAAGTATGACCCAAGAAAGGAATTCGAAGATGACCCATGGATGACCGTCGTTCCATATATGAATCGACATCTTGACCAATGGACCGATAGTAATTGGAATGCGATGGAGAGTGTGGGTGGCTGCCCTTGGGCAGACCATTACAAGTTCGCCAACATGCTGAGTTCGGGAGCCTCATTCCAGTGCCTGATGGTCTTCTCAAGCCTGTTTTCCTCACCCGTCTGCGCAAAGCATACCGCAACATTGACCGTTACAAGAGTCGCATCGACTTCGTGTACATCACGAGTTCGCCACGAACTTGGACGTGTTCGCTGAAACAAGAGTTGATAGACACAGCTCGTCATTGTTCATTCTTGGAGCAGTACCCACTCCGTTGCCCAGGGATTTATCCACGAGCTGTGTCAAACTGTTGCGTGCGGTTGAGTATTACCGGATATGAATTCGCAAGAGTGCTATGTGTGGCTTCTTCAAACAAATCTACGAAACTTGTAGATGCAGTTGTGCGTGTTCATGGAATCAACTGTTTCTTCAGCCGCCACAGGGTTGGTGGTTGCCTGTTCGTTGGGATCCAGATCGACGGTCAGATGTAGTGATAACAGGCCAGATGCCAAATCCGGCATTGTGGCAACAGCTGGAAGAGAAAGCGATGGCCATACGAGACGTCATTGGGAATTCCTTAGCACGTCCGGGAGAGTTTGTTAGGTTGAAATACATGTCGGTATTTTCGGAGAATGCAACAATCAAGGAGCCGCAGAACCACGTATATGGATCGTCTATGAATGCTATGTATGGTTTCAGTCCACGACCTCATCCGCGTCAAACCCCGTACGTCACAAGATTCGGACGGGTTATCAGACCTCCTACTAAAGGGATGTAGTTAGTGACAATGTAATCATAGCAGATATACTGCTTTTTATGTTTTTATCCGCTATATGGAGCATCTTCGTAGTTAAACAATTTTGTAATTGTATAATAACCGTGTATGTGTACAATATTCAAAATCCAATATGACGAAACTCGCGGATTTTGTTTATCTACACGCTCAACTTGCAGGATGAAAGTCGGTCAAACAAGCTCGCATGGAAGCAGATCCTCTCATCAAGTTCCATCAACAATTGAGGATCTCATTATCTTAGACACTAACATTTGGTCGGTTGATATCGTCGATGAATTTGCGAATTATTAGCACATACATGTCGAAAACGAAGTTCGACCAGATGGTGAAATTCTACCGATCATGGGGTTTGTCAATGTACAAGAGACGATTGTGTCCGGCAATGGATCAAATATGTGGTACCTGTACACAAAGGAGGATGACGCATATGTCATTGTATCGAGGAAAGACGTTGTGGATCCCTTGGAGATGCTAGCCAACTGGAGGGAGGTATGCAGGAAACAGAACTGGGACGAGAAAGACAAATTGGAACAAAAAGTGTGCGCGTGGTATTCCATTGGCAGAAAAGAGTTGCTTGCACCGGTGGTGGTGGACTTCTATGGTCGAATCCGAGTATGCAATAGAGGCACGGCCATAGTGACACTTTTTACAACAGCGAAGATCACCGACACGACAATGAATGTGTTGTTCACTGCCCGGGAAGAATGTTGGGACCCCGTGGGTTCGAGCAAACTCGAACAGTTTCGGAATCGGTTAGAAATTGACGCGGCACTTAGGAAAGAGTCAGTGTACAGGGTTGACAGTTTGGTGCATATGCAACTTCACTACCTTTTTAACAAATGTGAGGAGATAGTGTTCACAGTCGAGCATAGAAAATGCGACACGGATGAAGTGACTCGTACAAAGCAGTATCATCGATCGGGACAAAAAGAAGTACCGTTACTGGGTGGCAGATAGAAGATAGTGATAGATTGTCCGTATTGTGAAGACATTAAGCACGCAACAAATTTTTTACCTCTTATTCTTCACGAGACCCTGGATAGTAGCCAGTAGCATAGCACGTTTGTCCAGGTCGAGACATGTTCAACAATCGATGCGCTTCATCGCTGACACATGTTATGGACTACAATGGTCAGATATGTGAACGATTTTGAACACTATGGAGATAGAAATTGTTAGCGCACTGCAACAATCGTAAGTTTCATTTTGTGTGGAGAATGCAAAATTGTTTTTTTAGTTATGTTTTATCGTGTTTTTTTCACCTGTTATTTCGTTTTTGGGTTTCGATGATCTGTGTGTCTATTCAACGGGCAACGGGAAAGTTTCAATTCCGTTGTACCCGTTGAATAGCCCCCGGGCCCCCGTTGAATAGTACAACGCCCCCCCCCCGTTGAATATTGTTCAACGGGGAGGGTGCATTGGGCCTCGGACACGACGCTGGACGCACGTGAACCAAAAAAAAAAAATCCCGTTGAATCCTATTGAATCCCCGTTGAATCCCCGTTGAATCCCGTTGAATCCCCGTTAAATCCCGTCGAATCAACGTTGAATCCCGTTGAAAAAAAGAAAAAAAGGACGTCGTCCAAAAATTCCGGAAAACAACTATGTTATGCAGAAAAATAAACTGAACAATTTTTGCCTCAGGGTCACATCAAAACTCTTCACCAAAATTAAAATAAAAAA